GTAAAATAGAAAGTAAGATTTAGAATAATTTTCTTCCAATTTTCTACCCACAAGCAGTGTTGGTCTTTGAACTACATAGCTCTATTTATCTTTTAAAGAAGTATTAACATTTTCTGAAGCTCTTGGCTACTTTTAATAGGATAACCAATCTGTTTCAATACGAACAAAATACAATGTTCAAAGCTTTGCTACCTTCCCCTGTAGGACGAAAAACCCTAAGAGAGTGGAAGAAACAGCACAAGGAAACTCGGCATTGGGGTACGTGTGATCTTTCCTTCTCCTTACGTGTCCTCAGGCCAAAGCCTGGTAGAAGAAAGATGTTCTCTGGGAAGAGCCTCCCACCCACCCTCTCACCTCACACTCGCAGAGCTGCAACACCCAGCGTTACGTTACGTTACAGAGTTGGGCTCCGCAGCCCCCGTGCTGCTGCAGCAGCTTTGTTCTGCCCCTCAGCAGAGGGCGGCTGTTGGGGGGTTCGAGGTTTGCCTCCCCCTGCCTAGGCAAACCCACGCGCTTCTGCCACAGCGTGGGGTCCAAGCTGAACCTGACAATCGACGGCAAACCGCCACACGGCGCAGAGGACCAGACCAAACTGTGGAGGCCCATGGCCGCAGCGCACACTAACTGCCGCCTCCCCACGCGCCAAGGACTCTGTGCCGGGGCGGTCAGCGCTACCAGGACCGAGACGGAAGGTGAAGGCAGCAGACAGCTAACAGATGGCACCACCTGTCCTGAGGAACAGTATTACAGCCAACCAACAATTGCAAAGGAGCGGTATGTGTGAGCTCGTGCGCACACAGCATAGGTGGGAGTTTAATATTGGTTAAGTTTTGCCCCAATTCAGTTTTTTAATCCAGTCTGACCTTGTCAAAACACAAAACCATCATGCAACTACTAGTAGGGTCCTGCAGGGTGAAAGAGAGACGTATTATTTGCACAGTGATGGTGTTTGCTGTTGTCCGTGTCGTCTAATTCACCTAGAGGCTGGCTGTGAGTTTTGAAAAGAAAACCTAGCGGCAAAGACACCGTTTCCATTTCTGCTTCTTGGTTGCGCCTCTTCAGAAGAGATTTGGAATACTTAAACCATTTGTAGGTTGCTGCCACGTCTTAGTATCTCACAGCTGATGCCAGCAGATACGGCACAGAAACAAAGCATAAATGTCTTACCCATATTCATGAAGAAAAAAGGCCATCATCTGTCACTTACACCTCAGTAACTCGGGTTTTGTGCCCTGTCCCAAAATAAAACACAGCTGTATCTAGTTATCACCTGCCCAGTAAATAAAAAAAAAAAAAAAAAAAAAAAGGGCTATGTATTGGCTACAAGTCAGGGTCCAGATGGGTAGGACACTAAAATGAAAGGAGGGGAAGAGGTTTTGGTGCTGGCTGAATAAACAATCACAGTACCAATCACACAATGGCACTGGTTAGGTTTGCGTCCTGGGCCAAGATTTTTTTTCTTTTCTTTTTTTTTTTTTAGGTTGTCTAGATCACCTGTGGATTTTTCCTTGTGATTTTCTGTTGGAAAGCAAACAGGCTTCTGACCTGATCTGCAAAACATACAAGAACAACTCCCTGTGTGCACAGGACTAAGGTTATTTGTGTAACCACCGATCTGATCTACCCACCAAGAACACAACACGACTACGGGGGATGCATGGAATGGATAAATGCTATTGAAGAAGACAACTCAAGTGTATTCAACCTTTTTACTGAAGTTCTTCGTAGCATTGTGTGGTTTTGTTCTAATGCAGATTGTAGATACTGGAGACTACTGAAGCCATTCACCACCTTAGACTGCCCTTAAAGGAATATATGGTATCTCTGAAACCATACATTACTCACCTATTAGGCTTAAAAGAAATTGTTTCATCCTGATCAGATCAGTTGACTTCCTTTCAGACATAAAACTGTGCACTTTGAGACTTATTTCAGCAGTAATGATATACAGGCCTCAGAAGAAGTTTCTCATCCATCTGTAAAATCATCACTGCAAGATATTTTCACCCATCGATGTGCTGGCTCCTCAGAGGATTTCCTTCCCTCTGAACACCAGGCAAACTTTGATTTTTGACACTTTGCACTGAATAAGAGGGGAAGAACATATGATAACAACAAAGCACAGTATAAAAAACCAATTTCTTGCTCAATTAGTAAACGAGACCATTTCTCTGGCTCTCTCATGCAGTCCCAGGAGTACCCAACGGACAGCTCTATGACCAGTGGCAACAGACACAGCCTTGTGAGCAGGAGTTAATCAGACAAGGAGAGAAAAAAAAAAAAAATAATAAAAAAAAATCTTTCGACCTCTCCCCCAAAGATTCTTCCCTTCCCATAGGTTTTTCCTGTAGGCAATACAAAGATTTAAAAACAGTCCCCAGTCCTACCTCCTGCTGTCCATCTAAGAACTGCAGGACTAGAGCAGGAACTTTCCTCAATAATATTTGAGTCTTTTGGGAGATACAAGCACATGACGAGCAGTTTTTCACATCTTCTGAAGCCAGAGAAGCAACCAGTGAGCTGGTAACCACTAAACCCCATTTCTTATATGTCTGATGTACCACCTCTGTGCAAGAGCTGACCGCACTGTTCCAAGCTCCTCCTGCCCTGCTCCTCCCAGCCCCTAACCTTTCTCCTCCAGGCCTCCTGCTTTTTCCTTCTCGCAGCTCTTCACTCTGCATCAGGTATCTGTCCTAATGAACAACCATCTTTCAAGGGGCAGGCTAGAGGATAATAAATAAGAACTTTAAGGCATGAAATCTATGTCAATGTTTACAAAGGACAGCCTCCTATGAAATACAGCAGTGACTAAATGAGCCAAAACCCCCATATCTATCAATTACTTTGAAACACAAATCATTTGTAAACAACATGTCTCATCTCTCCGGGAGCCTAGAAGCAAAACAGTATTTTCAGTCTGTCATCCTCGGGAGAGAATGAGAAAAAGCAGACACATACTTACAGGTTTCAGACTGAAAAATACGCTTGGCTGAAAAACATTTTTGTTCACAGCTTAAAGCTTCAAATGAAACAAAGCCAAGTTTTAAAATTCTTTCCTAAAACTAACATTTAAATGCAGTAACCCACAGATTCTTCCCATACATAAAACTCAGCTTTGTGTTTTAAGATGACTACCAGAGGAACAATGTTTTTACCTGCCCTATGATACCTGACAGCTAGGAACTGACCAGAGCTCTGCCATCATCCTGACTTAATCTCTTACAGCTTTGAAAAGACTGGTAATACTGTGGAATTACTGCACACTAACGCTTTCACTGCCGGCCCACCTGACTGACTTGGAGTTTTGTTTGTTTGTTTGCTGGGGAGGGGGTGACAAGCTACTTTTCACAGTAGCTCAAAATCAAGACTGGAGTAAGAACTAGTAAACTTCCATTTTAACTGGCTACAAAGCATGCAGAACAGGGAAACCAACCAGATCCATCAGCCAGACTAAGCTAGCACGCAGATGGTTGACTAGTAGTGGAGTGACCCCCCACACACCACACTCCACAGGACACCCTAAAGGGCACGAACGCTTTTAAAGTGTCTCTGCACAGTTACATGAAGTATTACACTGGGCTAGAGAGAACGTCATCTTGCACCTCACTGTGGCTGATGATATATCCACGCACCGTGCAGCGCTGAAGTACTGCTGTTCAGCAACAGCCACCGCCCCACCCCAGGCTAAAGCATTTACTGCAATTTCTCCAAATAGAAATGGCTAGAGTGGAAGGAAGAGGTAGGAAAAAAAAAAGAAAGTTACTTTTTAATATTAGAAACATACTAATCACAGTTGAGAAGACTGGGAGGCATAAGTGGCAGACTCTGCTTTGGGAATTCAGGGCAAATAATCTGGGCAATGGAGCAATAGCTGAGTGCCATGAGAATTTCTTTTTTTTCTTTCCTCTCAAACCTGTTTCTTTTTTCTTAGAGTCTGAAATCAGCCACTTCAGTCATCCTTCTCCTGAGGTAAAGTCTGCTGTAGTTTTGTCTTACACGACTGGTTTACAAAATGAAAAGTCTCGAGTTTTTATTTTTAAAAACACAGCAAAAATAGTAAAAGAAAATTACTTTGAGGGGCTCTCCAGTAGTACTTAATGATAGTCTCACTCCTACAGCACAAACAACACTACAGCAAACTGGTCTCTGCAGAGACACAAAAGGAACACAAGGAATGAGCTAGTTTATGGAGATGTACTCTTGAGCACTGACCATTTTTCAGGCACTTCATGAGCTATTCTTGAGTGGGTATGCATGACAGTATGACATTTACAGTGCAGGTGATCACCTTCTACAAAGAAGTCGCTTTCCAAGAAAGACGGTGCAAGGAGGGTACAGGAAAATCAGTCTTTGGCACTTAACTGTTGAGAAAAGCCTTTTTGCTCCCAGCCCAGTGTACCATGGTTCCTTCTGTCAAAGTTACTATAGAAAGAATAACGAAAACCATTCAAGATGTCAGTAATCTTAAGATGTTTGTGACAGTTTAAAAAAAACAACAAAACAAAACAAAACAACCCCAGAAATCAGCAGATTCTCTATTTGAAAAAGCCTTCAGGCCTGGCTGATTTTCCTAGTTAGCTCACAAAGAAAATGTGTGTCCAGAACAGATTTACAGTCACCCGAAAGCACACCAAAAGCAACTGATTTCTGTTGTGATCCCACAAAAGTGTGTCCTAACATGAGCAACAAGTGGAGAGACACGGGATGAATATTCTGAATTGTGTACCACATAAGGAACACCAGGTAAAGGCATAAAGTGTCCCCTTCCAGGCAGGTGTATCCCAACCAGGGAAAAGGAGAAAGTTGACTCAAAATAATCTAGAAAGCCTCAAAATATAAAAGTTTATTTAGCTACAATATTAAAAAGTACAATATAAAGATATAAAACATAGAAATTCCATAATTAATTCACATGCTAAAAGGCTTAATTGACCAGCCGTAAGGAGGAGACTTCATGAAATTTACGGACATCTCAGCCATAAACGCTATTTCATCAAGTTTCAGACTTGAAATATTGAACAACCATTGCAGAGAACTTGCTCTCCGAAATCACCATAACTAGGGGAAAAAAAAAAAAAAAAGGAAAGAAAACCAAAACAAGTCAGTGTCTACTGTTTCTTGAACGTAACAAAGAATGCCATCCTATTCCACTATCAACTGTAACCACGGGACTCCCACACAGCACACTCAATATTTATATCATCACAGAACTGTTAAAAAGTGACGGCAAAAACTTAAGATCACTCCTTGGGAGTGCGTTCATTCATCACGGACCAGCATACTATATTGCTGGTGGGAAAGAAAGAGAAATTTTTGCATCCTAGAACATTTAAATGAGAAGTTAAACTGGACTCGCACTAAGATGATTAGACAGGTTCACACAGGCATTTTATTTCCCATGTTTCAGGCAGTTTTACTGTTGCTAAAACAACATAAGAAGAGTTCAAGTCCTTTATGTGGATGAGCTAGATATCTATCAAGTCTTCATATGCTACAGCCAATTCACAGCACACATAATTAAAATAAGCTTCAAAATTCAAAAGGCACTTACTCGACAGTGGAGCACAAAGAACAGGTAACTGTGTTACAGCAGCTGCAGAGCCTGCTGCAGTTCTGGCAGACAAATTGGTCGCACTGCGTACATGCTTCCTTGACATCAGCAGTCCTTACACACGATGAACAGGCTTTGGAAACTCCCACGGGTGGAACTGCTTGGAAAAGATACAATTAAGAAGAGATATACTTCATGACAAAATAGAGACAGCACCTGCAAGTTCCAAGAACTGCAGAGTATGGTTATCTCCACTTCGCGTTACAGCTACAGGTGGCAGCACTTTGCAAAACACACTTGCAGGCACCAGCACAGGGCCCACCGCTTATAGCTTTGCTGAGGTTTTTTCTGCTCAATGGCAAGACCACTAAGAGACTCTCAAGCAAACCACACATGCAACGGTTTCTAAATCCGCCAGCGAAGCTCAAATCTAGCACTTCCTTTAGAAAAAGGCAACAAAGCAGAGCTACGGAGGGACACACACCCACCCCCCCAAAGTGGGCCAGGAAGGTCGAGGGGGCGGCAAGCAGCGTCCGCAGCCTGGCTCCCGCAACAGCGGGGCCACTCACCCTTCTCCGTGGCGGCGGGGCGCCTCAGCAGTTTCCCGTCGTGGCCGATGAGCAGCTGCCCGCTCCAGCG